CCATTAATTTTTTCAAATCTTCTTTAATTTCCTGGTTGACCCATTCATTCTTTAGTAAGATTCTCTTTAGCCTCCATGTATTTGAGTTCTTTCCATCTTTCCTCTTGTGACTGAGTTCTAGCTTCAGAGCATTGTGGTCTGAAAATATGCAGGGAATGATCCCAGTCTTTTGGTAGCAGTTGAGACCTGATTTGTGACCCAAGATGTGATCTATTCTGGACAATGTTCCATGTGCACTAGAGAAGAATGTGTCTTCTGTTGCTTTGGGATGGAATGTTCTGAATATTTCTGATGTCTATCTGGTCCAGTGTATCGTTTAAGGCCTTTATTTCCTTGTTAATCTTTTGCTTGGATGATCTGTCCATTTCAGTGAGGGGGGGGCTAAAGTCCCCTATTATTATTATATCATTGTCAATATGTTTCTTAGATTTTGTTATTAATTGGTTTATATAATTGGCTGCTCTCATGTTAGGGGCATAGATATTTAAAATTGTTAGACCTTCTTGTTGGACAGACCCTTTGAGTATGATATAGTGTCCTTCCTCATCTCTTATTATAGTCTTTGGCTTAAAATCTAATTGTTCTGATATAAGGATTGCCACCCCAGCTTTCTTCTGATGTCCCTTAGCATGGTACATTGTTTTCCATCCCCTCACTTTAACTTTGGGGGTGTCTTTAGGTCTAAAATAAGTTTCTTATAGACGGCTTATTGATGGTATTGTTGGTTTTTATCCATTCTGATACCCTGTGTCTTTTGATTGGGGCATTTAGCCCATTTACATTCAGGATAACTATTGAAAGATATGAATTTAGTGCCATTGTATTGCCTGTAAGGTGACTGTTACTGTATATTGTCTCTGTTCCTTTCTGATCTACTACTTTTAGGTTCTCTCTTTGCTTAAAGGACCCCTTTCAATATTTCTTGTAGGGCTGGTTTGGTGTTTGCAAATTCTTTAATTTTTGTTTGCCCTGGAAACTTTTTATCTCTCCTTCTGTTTTCTATGACAGTCTAGCTGGAGATAGTATTCTTGGCTGCATGTTTTTCTCGTTTAGTGCTCTGACTATATCATGCCAGTCCTTTCTGGCCTGCCAGGTCTCTGTGGATAAGTCTGCTGCCAATCTAATATTTTTACCATTGTATGTTACAGACTTCTTGTCCCGGGCTGCTTTCAGGATTTTCTCTTTGTCACTAAGACTTGTAAGTTTTACTATTAGATGACAGGTTGTGGACCTATTTTTATTGATTTTGAGGGGGGTTCTCTGTGCCTCCTGGATTTTGATGTTTGTTCCATTTGCCATATAGGGGAAATTCTCTATTTTGCTCCAATATACCTTCTGCTCCCCTTTCCCTTTCTTCTTCTTCTGGAATCCCAATTATTCTAATATTGTTTCATCTTATGGTATCACTTATCTCTCAAATTCTCCCTTCATGGTCCAGTAGTTGTTTGTCTCTCTTTTGCTCACCTTCTTTACTCTCCATCATTTGGTCTTCTATATCGCTAATTCTTTCTTCTGCCTCTTTTATCCTAGGAGTAAGACCCTCCATTTTTTATTGCATCTCATTAATAGCTTTTTTAAAATTTCAACTTAATTAGATTTTAGTTCTTATATCTCCAGAAAGGGATTTTATTTCTCCAGAAAGGGTCTCTCTATTATCTTCCATGCTTTTTTCGAGCCCAGCTAACACCTTGAGAATCATTGTTCTGAACTCTAGTTCTGACATATAACCAATGTCCATATTGATTAGGTCCCTAGCCTTCGGTACTGCCTCTTCTTCTTTTTTTGTGTGTTGTTTTTCCACCTTGTCATTTTATCTAGATAAGAATATATGAACGAGAGAATAAAATACTAAAAGGATGGCAAAACCCAGAAAAATGTACGCTAACCAAATCAGAAGAGATCCATAACCAGGGGAAGAAGAAAAGGGAAAAAAGAAATAAAAATTAAAAAAATAAAAATAAAAAATTTATCTATCTATCATCTCTCTCTCTCTCTCTCTCTCTCTCTCTCTCTATATATATATATATATATGTATATGACTGTTGAATAGAATAGAGTCACCCACTTGATTTTGGGTATATTTTGGTTTCTTAGAAGAAATTACCTTCCAAAATTTTAAAGAAAGAAAAAAATATATATGTATATATATACAAAAATAAGTGTAAGCACAATGAAGGGATGGAATATGACTGTAAAGATGAAAATTTTAAAAAAATCCTAGAAAGGGAATGGATAAGGTAAGTTGGTTGGTAAAAGGAAAAAAAGAAAAAAGAGGAGGAATGTGCTTAGGCTGGAGACTAGAACAAAGCCATGTGCTAGATTAGAGTATATTTTGATCTATTAGAAGAAATTGTATCCCAAATTTTTTAGAAAAAAAAAAACCTATATATATACAAAAAATAAGTTTAAATACAATGAAGGGATAAAATATGACTATAACAATGAAGTTTTAAAAAGTTTTTTTTTTAGAAAGATTGTTAAGATAAACTAGTTAAAAATGCTGAAAGTGGAAAGAGGAAAAGTTTAAAAAATTGATGAAAGTAGATAAAAATAGATAAAATGGATAAAAATAGATAAAAAATAAGAAAAAAATAAAATTATAAAGACATTTAACTCTGCAAGACTAAAGGATCATGGGAAAAAAGCCATGAATTCTATGAGTTGCTTTCCCCAGTGGAGTTCCTCTGTTCTCCTTGATTAGTGAGCTCAGTCTTGGCTGGATGGTCTTGCTGAATTTCTTGGGGGTGGGCCTGTTTCAGTGATTCTCAAATGTCTTTGCCTGAGGTGGAATTGCACCGCTCTTGCCAGGGGCCATTCCCCCACCCCCACTCCGTGGTCTATCTTCCCGTAGCTTCCGATTCACGTCTCAGCATGTCCTACCTTCCAGAAAATGGTCCCTTTTCTGTTTCTAGAATTGCTGTTCTTCTTCTCTTCTATCTCCTGTTGAGTTTGACCAAATAGTTCAGAATGGTTTCATACCTATCTAGCTCAACTCCTGAGATATGATGTCGTTTTAGTCTTCTACCCCTCCGCCATCTTGGCTCTCCTCTCTACATATGTTTTTTATCAATTTCACAAGTGTTGGGTTGTGTTTGAAGTACACAGTTTGTGTGTTTATCTTTAGTGTCTGAGTAAGAACATGCAGGCATAATGCAATTTATCAAGGCAACACTGGACCTAAAATATTAGGTCAGTTTCCTTTCATTTTGTCTTTTTTTTTGTCTTCTATTATCATAAAATAATACTCTTTCATCTCTTGAGCAAAATAAATCTTTGTAGTTATTGTTTCACAAACTCATCAGACCGTGTCCTTGATAAGACAGAAGTCTGATAATTTGGGCATCCAGATATTACCCCAGGGATGATTTACTTGAATTTTTTATTTATACCCATGCTTAAAATTTGAAATAGACGAATTTTTCTAGATGAAAAAAAAAAAGGGTATTTGCACAATTATCTGCTTGAATTTTATGTGGCTGAAAGATGATAAATTTCTATTTTTTATTGGTACTTGTTTTTTAAATTTTGAACTTTAAGCTTTTAAGGAAAAAAAAAATAGTCCTGAAATAATCCAATTACATTTATATGGATGAAGTGAAAAAAAAAAATTAATTGTTGTATCTAAACTAGTAGAATGAGTCACCAGCATTTCATGTAAAACTTGCAGCTTAGGAGTTTAACTTATAACCAGAAGTTGAAACAAAATGTTTCTATTTAGAATTGTAACAACACCAATGGAAATTCATTTAATTGATAAAACTATTCTGAATTAAGTCATCAGCTTGAAGACCACACTTAGTACAGTTAAATAAAATCTCTGGAAGCTGATCGCAAATAGATTAAACCTACTGGATGCATAAGTGATTTTCCTTTGACACTTAAAATAAGATATTTAAAATAAGATATAAATTTAGCGTGCCATCATAAGGTACAGCTTTGAAATCTCACAAATCACGAATGTTGTGCTTGGAAGTTAGGGTCAGTGTATTCCCAGGAGCTTGAATCGCTGTGGAGAATGCCCACCAATTAGGACACACATATCCTGATTAACATTTAAAAGAGTCAATGTATTATCTTTTATTCCTGCCTTCTTTTAGTGCTTGAAAACCCTCATATCAAGAAGAATGAGTTGTAGAAATACAGACTTTGTCAAATGCTGAAAACCACTCTGACTTCAGGTCTAGGATGGTGTATCTGAGATGAGGTGGTCAGACAGCAGGGGCTCGTCCGTTCAGTGTCTCCTGTTCCTGGCATGCTCCGCAGACTGAGAGCTCTTCTTAAGTGAAAGAAGCGGGACTGGAGTAGAGGCAGTTTAATTAAAACACTGGAAATCATGAGACTGGGATTCAATTGAAGGTCCGTTTTAAGATGCTTACAGAGATTTTTCTCAGCAAAAGCACTGCACAAGTGAAGAAAATCATCAGAAGAGAAATAAAGACACACAGACCCCGAGCTCTGCAAGTAACACCCCATCTTCTATCTGCCCAGACTTCCTAGTTAGGAATTAATTCGGTTTTAAGCCAAATTTACAGGAAAAGACTCTGGCACATTAGTATTCCTTCGTTACTCTTGAACTGAACCCGTGAGACCAAAAGTTAAAGCGACAACCCAACGCTAAAAGCAAACATTATTTTTCCTAAGATCCATAGTAACATAAAATCAGTAGAAAACTGAAATCATCCTTGTAGGTCTGAAATTAATCTGATGACCGGGACCAGCCAAAAAATTCTGGTGAGTTTCCGTAATTCAATAATCTGCCTGTATCGAACTTGTTACTGGGTTAGAGCTGTTTTCATGATTATTTCAGCCCATCTGAGAGAGGTCCGAAAATCATCTTAGGTTGTCCTCCTAAGCTGAGTTCTCTTTATTCAAACCTGGAAACCCTCTGTGTTTCATTCTCGTCACTCGGGACAGCAAGGTTAAGTAGTTTCTTCACATTGCTACTTTGTTAGTTTTTGTAACAACGGTGGCCCATGACCTTTGCTTGATTCCACCTGCAGCTCCCTGCGGAGGACAGTACACAGGATCCGAAGGGGTCGTTTTGTCGCCCAACTACCCTCATAATTACACAGCCGGCCAGATATGCCTTTACTCCATCACGGTGCCCAAGGAGTTCGGTAAGGTGGCTTTTCAGCGTTGTAGTCGTCATCCCATGTCATATTGGTTTCATTGATGATTCTTCTGTCATTTTATAAGGAAGTATTTCAGCTCTCGATATAATACAATAATACACAAGAAGATGAGTTGTATTATAGCAGCGGGTTTTCTGAAGGTACAGAGTATCCACTACAAGTCTTTTATCGATGTGATATAAAATGCTTAATGTTCTTCTAAGATCGTGATCCAGAATAATCAGAGAGAACACGATTGGCTTTGCTTCTACTTTTGCTAGAAAGCATTCCGCCACCCCCCAACCCCCCCGCCCCCCGCCCAAGGAGGATCACCAAGAAAGATGGGCCAGGGGAACACTGCTGTTAATTTATACATACATTTTGTAATCAGATTATGATGGAAATCCCTGGATCACCGAAGTTACCTCTGAGTGATTGTGATGCAGAAATAGGCTGAGCCTCCATCTGGTTCCTTTGCACGTAATTTGTGATGGTCCCTCCTCATGCTTCTAATCTGAGCTGGCTTTCTGAAAGGCTTCATTTCTAGAAGGGCCTTCCTGGGGTGGGGGTGGAGTTCTGCCTTCCGTCTACCCAAAGCTGGATTCCCGCATCTCCAATCTCACTCCTGACCACAGATATTTCTTATGATTTGAGTTATCTGGAGTCAATGAGATAGAAGCTTTTATAGCTTCATATCCAAGGCTCCTTTTTACCCTCCAATACTAAAATTTAAAACCTTACATAGTTAAGGTGTTTTTTGTTCTCTAGAGTCAAAATAGCAGCCACCTACTCACAGATATAAAGCAAAATTATAAAAATTCTAAGGGTACAATCTGTTTGAGGGAAAACATTTTAAAAAGTACAGTTATATGACAGGAAAGTTAATTGCTGGTTAAGAAAATGGCATGTGGGAGACCAATGGTTTCTGTGAATTTCTGTTATTTACGATGCACAGGTCTGCCCAAGCTAATGAAAACCTCTACCAGGTGCTGATGTCAGCCTTAGGTAGTTTAGATCACGGGCCCTTCATGAACTGTGCGATGTACCTTGCTTGGTCTCTGAAGCCCCAGCACTAGTGTCCACCCTAGGCCAGTTCTCAAGAGTAATGGGGTTTTCAGGTGGGGCCTTTCTTGTAGCATCTCGCTCGGTTAAGAGGAGATGGTGTTCTGAGCGTCAGCAATGATGGACGTGTTCCTGGAGACCAGGGCAGAAGGACCAGCTTCTCAAGGGTAAAGGGCAATTCACTTACTCTGCGAATGAATAGCACTTCCTACTCTCATTTAAGAAAGTGAGAGGGCTTCAGAATGTTCACTTTTGTTATAATAAACAGACAAGAAAACTTAGAATAATTCCTAATCCCCACTCTTTATGCCAGCCCAATTCCTCTGATGTCACTTACTTGGTCCCAGTAAATCCATTTTTTCCACCTAAGTGCCCCACAGCAGCCTCCAATTACTTCCCGTGAATATTCCTCTTATTTCTGTTCGTAGATACATGACAGACTGTATTTGTCACAATGGAATATAGCAGCCAGAGTCTATGATTTTGGTTTGTTTCAAAGTTTATTGAATTGTCACAATTGTGATTTTTTTTAGCAGAAAAAAAAAAAAGGTCAAACCTCGATCCTAAATATTGAGCATTGTTTCCCAATCTGAAATGTGTAATGATATACATGTATCACATTGTATCCAGGCAGAAAATTTTAATTTGAAATTAAAATAGTTATACGAAGTATTTAATGAAAATCTATAGTGTCTTATATCTTGTATTTTCTACTCTTCCTTACTCTTTCCTGGGAAGTAAATTAATTCAATAATTAATTCAATAATCATCACAAGGGCCAAGGCGAATAAAATATAGTCTGTGCCTGTGAAATGCCCAGTTTTTAAGTCCCTCGTCGGCTCATGGGGTGAATGTCGCTAGGTGGGAAGGGACATAAGTACAGTGAGCACAGGCTCCAGTGGAAAGGACGTTTAAGGCAGGTCTTCACGTACTCCAATCCTCTCCCTATTTTCACTCAAAAGCATCACCGAAGTATCCTTTCTAAAACAAAGCTCTGATCATGGAAACACCGTGATTGACATCTTCACTCCGTTTTTTGCCCACAAGCAAACCCCACGTATTTGGGTGTGGCCTGCCAAGCCCTTAAGTCTCAGGCTGCTGTGGCCTTTGCTGCCCAACTCCCTCCTCTCTCCCTTCCTCTTGGAGCACCTGCCAAACCAGACCAATGACCACATTCCATGGTCCCCTGCAGAATCGGGGTCTGAATGGTCATGGGCTGAAAGGAGCGCCCCGCAGGTCACTCGTACACATGAAGGGTTACAGTCCTCCTGCTTTAAGACCAGCGATGCTGCTGTCTCCCCAGCTGGACGTGGACTCCCCCACAGCTGGAAACAGCTGCCCTGTGGCTCACGTCCTACGGCCCCATACTCATTCCTGTCACAGTCACGTCTAGCTGCAGTGTCCATAGCACTGAGCACTGGTCACTCGTGGCAGACATCTGCTCTTTGGGGCGGAACCAGTCAGGGGCCTGAACTCGGCCCTAGCAGCTCACCAAAGCAGCCTCAGGTCTGCTAACTTGCAGAACCTGACTCTCTATTCATTGCAGGAACGCCGTACATGTTGGCACACAGCCGGCCCGGGGCCTTGTGTCTAATCTCAGCCATCTTCAGATTCTGTTGTAAAGTGAATGCTTTCTAAAAGGCTCTTAAAGTAATGATTAATTGATGAATTAATTAAATCAAAGTTTCTTGAAATTATGGGCCTATGATTCACTTTTATACTATTGAAAAGACCCAAGCATCCTCCTCTAACATGATGAAGAATTGTTTTGGGGGGCGGGAGGTTTGAACAAAGGCATTGTATAAGCCAGAACCATGTGGAAATCATAACATTCTCTTCCTCTTTCTAATTCTTTGTTTTAGACTATCTCATGCACAGGGAAAGTCCTCCTTGCTCTCATGCTTCCTTAATTGTTTCTCTCCAGGAAATTATAAAGGAATTATAAAATCTTAAAATACATGTATTTTAAAATACATGTGCATATATTTATTACCTGCTCAGTACATGTGATGCATATTATACATGTGTGGATATATGTAATGCACACCTGTAATAGGGTACATGGCATATGTAGAATACGTATATATGTAGAACACACACACACACACATACACACACACACAAGCTGTTACAGTTAGAGCCCCTCCGTTCTGCCAACACTTATATTAATTCCCTCATTAAACTCTGATATGTGTACCTGACATGCCCATATCCATTTTTTGCTCAAGATGATTTAGAATGATTCTAGTTTAAACCTTACATATAAATAAGAATCAGTTGGTCCTGGTTTACGTGCCAAATCACAAGAGTTTCTAAATGTTCTAAAGGGCCTATTGTCAATTTGAGTACAAAATAATTTATGAAGTTTGAAGTAGTGAAATGCACAGTTGTGTTCTACTGGGAGGAGGTGTGTTCTTCTACAGATATGGCCTATCAGAAAATATCAGAAAATAAAGTTGTGCAGTGGAATGACAATAAACAATTTCTGTAACATGTTGTTGACTTGTGTATAAAAGCAATGAGTTTGTAAGAATTTGGCCTTATAACAATCCTAAGTAAAGAATTTTAACTTCTTTTACAACTTGGCATGTTTTTAGTTTAATTTTTTGGGTTGATTTTAAAGCCTACAGATGTCTTGATCTCTGTCCCCTCATAAATATGTGGCTGTTCTTCTACTATCCTAATATAACACTGAAAGGAATTAATATTAACATTCAATTAATTTTCAATTAATTCAATTAATTTCAATTAATATTCAATTAATATTCAAACTATATGGGGAAGTATTATTAAGTATGAAGTCATCAAGAAGCAAAATAAAATTATTTAAGCAACTAAAACATCTTAGAAAAAGAGAAAACTCCCAAAAAAGAGAGAGAGAGAAAGAAAACCAGTTAATCATTTTCTATAGGATTCTTAGGATCATGATCTTTGGAGAAACCAATAAATAGGTGGGACAACCACAATCTCCATGTCTTTACTTGTGAGACAGCACAACATGCCAACCCTACCCCTTTATTTTGCAGTGGTGTTTGGACAATTTGCCTATTTCCAGACGGCACTGAACGATTTGGCGGAATTATTTGATGGAACACACCCGCAAGCCAGACTCCTCAGCTCACTCTCTGGGTCACATTCAGGTAAAGAGTCAATGAATGTTGTCTTGAATTTTATTTAGACAGCTAGAATGAGTCATTTTGAACTTGTTGGATTTTTTTTCTTTTTAATGAAAGAAGAATGCAATCCTCTTCGAGTTTTCTTGCTTGTTTAACAAAACCTTATTCCTGATGGAAAATCTCAACTGTATTTTATCCCACGCATAAAACCACTGACCATTATCATTTTACTTATTAACATTGTAGAAAATATAATATCTGTCTCAATAACAAAGGCAAATATCAGGAAAAGAGGGGGTAATAAACTATCTTGTGTCTTCTGTTTTCTCTTCTATGTCTCATGATCTTCCTGGAGATAAACAGTATCAACCTTTTGGTCTAAATCATTACCAGCCTTTAAATACACATGTCTAGGGAGGCCTCACACTCATACATGCCCATGAGTACATATGTGCACACACGGACACGAATGTGTGTAATGTATGTGAGCATGGGAACGTATGTGGGTCTTCATGAAACATGCGATGTCATTTCACAACTCAGTCTTTTTGCCAAACTCTTGCATAAAAGCAAAAATGGAGTCTTCCCCTACCAAAAAATATGAATATACACCAAAAACAATTAGTTTTAGTGCTGATTAGTATTCACTTCGTCAGTGCAGCCTAATCTACATAGCCCCTCGTGCACTTGGACCTTGTGCAAACTGCAAGGTTTCTACCGCTGGTGCGTTTTCATCGTTTACCAAAGCAACGCACATCGGTGCATCACAAACTCTTGCCAACCAAGGTTAGGATTTGATTATTTCTGGTTTTTCCCTATTATTAACTGAGGGTCTTAAGATTATTATTTCCTGCCAACGTCCAATGATGCAATGTCTGGAAATGCATCAGAAGATACAGATTTAAAATATTAATACCTAGAGACAAATTCACCTCTGAAAAGCTAATGCCGTTCACCTGCCCTGTGACAGCATTTCAGAAAGACCATTCTTCTAGGGCAGGTGGACTTTAAAAGGTGGAAATATGTTTTCAGAACTTTTTGTTTATTCGTTTGTTTTGTTTTTGTTTTCTGAATGCTTTAGTATTTTTAAAATCAGCTTTGGATTCAGATTTTCTTAACTTTCTTATTTTAAAAAAAATCCCAGCAAGTCATTATCAAATATAGTTGATTCTGAGTCAGCGATAAGTCGGACTCTTCAGTTTCCCACATTGTCCGCCGGCAGACCCGTCACCAGTGCTCACTTCATGAGACAATGGCTAAAGCAACATTTGAACAGAACGAATGGATAAGGAAAGTTTTAAAATCTTGATAAATACGATATGTCTGAGTCCTGAACCCAAAGGGAAATTTCACAGAAGTCCAACAGTTACATGAGAAATTCCAAGTTAATAATTACTTCCAAAATATTGTCCCCAATGGTGCAGTGCCTCCCATGGATCTCTTGTATGGTTTCTGATTTTTTCCTCAGGTGAAACGTTACCTTTGGCGACATCAAATCAGATTCTCCTGCGATTCAGCGCCAAGAGTGGAGCGTCTGCCCGGGGCTTCCACTTCGTTTACCAAGGTAAAGTTCACCGGCGCGCTGCGGTCTTCCCAGGCGCTGTCCCACGCTGTGCTCAGTTAAAGCACAAACGATATCTGCGTTGCGTTGTTTTGCTTTATATTTAGGAAATTGAGGGTATTCGTATATTTATACCCAAACGATTTATCAAGAACATCACAACTTTCCTTTCTGACACTGAAATAGGATATTGCTTCTACGAAGACACGGAAACAGCTCGTTGCTCCGGCACCATCAGGGAACGTGTGGACCACCTCTCCTTTCACAGCTCCTCACATTGGCCAAGGGATTTCACATCCATCACAGTATTTCATGTAATTAGGCAAAGTGTTTCATGATGGTTTAGATTTTAGTATCTGCTTTAATAAAATACCTTTAAGCACATTGTTCAATTCCAGACCTTCCTGTAAAAACTATTGAAAAGGCGACTTCACAAAATCATGCAAATCCCCAAATACTACCCACGCACCCATCCCTCTAACTACCTATTTTATTTTGTTTGTGTTCTATTAACTTCTGACACTTTGAAACCTTTATATTTATTTTTTTTAAATTGGACAGTATTCAAAATGTCTAAGATTGTACAAAGATTCTTTAAAAATGAGGATTTCCCCCTATTTCTAGTTTACCTTTATTTTGCATGTTCATTACATTAACTTGAAAAACAATACATAAACTATTTTTACACTTTCTGAAGACCAAAGCAGGCCTTTGGATGGTACTTGGAATTGCTGTGTAGCTTGTGATGTGACGGAGATCACCATCTACAGAGATATAAACTGTCTGTTCCAAAATAAGAAGGAATGCTTAGTTTTTCTAGGTTTCAGTTTTGCTTGAGGCTAGAGCGATTCCTCGTTGCTCTTAAATATTTTCTTCAGAAGTGGAGGAGGATCACTTACTACCAGTGGTTTCTTCCTTTAATAGAGACTTTTTCAGAAAACATACTAGGCAGCATCATCATGTTTATTAAAAAATTATGGAAAATGTGTCATTTCATTCATAACTCATTCCTAAGACTCTTACATGGCAAAATCCAAGCCCTCAAAATATTTTTATAAACTCTATATTATAAAATAATTATTTTATAAATTATAGACTATTTTGCTATAAAACCTCTTCTGTGTTCAGCAGTGAGGTGGTCTGAGAAAGAATGGAAACAGAATAGGAAGGTATCTGACAGCAAGCGTCAGGGAAAGTATCTCTAACCCAGTGTAGGCAGTAATTGCTTCAATGATGTTTCTACTCAATTACAATCAGTTATATTGTTCTAAATTATACCTTTTCTTAAAATATAAACAATTAAACCAATATTTTTAATGAGCTTTATTGGACAGTGACCAATGTAGGCAACTCACCTTTTACTCCTAATTTTCTTTAAATAAATTATATTATTTTGCAGAAGCAAATTTACAAACCCAAATACATTGGGGTAACATATAAAGATACCAAGGACCACTTGGTTTAAATACATATTTTATCCTGGAAAAATTCAAGTTACTGGCATTGTCCATCTTGATAAGGGGTGCTTTGTTTTGTTTTGTTTTATTTTGTTTGATAAGATTAGAAAATCAATCAGATCATTGAATAAAATATCTGAGGCAACTGACCCTATGTTTATCCTATTTACAAATATTATCATCAGAAGTCATGATTTTAAAACTTATATTTCTTGGTTTAAAGTAACATATTACCATTACAATGAATCAAAATAGAAAAGTAGAAAGAAAATCATTTATAAGAGGAATACATCCTCCTTGTCTTTACAAATATATAATGAATCTAACATCCTCAATATTTTATTATATTAAGTATATAATATATATACTTTATTATATTAAGTATATAATATATATACTTATATATAATATATATATATTGAGTATATAATATATATACTCCTTTTCATGATTTGTGCCTACAGTGAGTTTATGCAAAAATTGATGTCTTTTTATCAAAGCTAAATCCTTTGGAAGTAAAGAACTAGAATCATGAACGCAATTTAAAAACCAGTCAGGAACACCTGGGGAAGTTTTCAGTGTATACATAAAGTTCAATTGAACATTGCCTCTGGAAGATGGCAGTTCTATGGAAGCCAAGGAATTATTTGCAATCTATGGTGTAAAAACTTCCTGAAAAGTTCTTTTGTATACCACTTATGGCTTCATTCTTTCACAAGTTATTAAAGCCTGAAATTGCACAGGGACTTTGTGATGCCCGCGATGATAGGGTGTCTAACTCTGTTAACAGACAGTTGTGTTATACGGAGCTGTTAGAGACCTCTGTGGCCAACAAGGTGGCAGGACCAGGGTGTGGAAGCCAGGATTGCTGTCTCTTGGCCTCCATGTCATCCTGGTTAATAAAGAGGCATTAATAATGAGGAAGTTTCTGTCTTTCTGATCTTGTGGAGAAATGGATGTGATAGAGGCTTTATTACTTATTTATTTATTCATTTTTTTTTACAAAGTGTCCTCCTTGACTTATGCCTTTGCTGTTTTTCATTTGCTTTCCATGCTACTTCGAGGTAGAAGGGGCTATTTGAAAGAGAGTGAGTTAGGACCCATGAGCACCCCAAAGGAGGCTAGTCGGTGGGAGCGGGGGGCACCTTCCTAATACAAGACTTTAAATAGCTCTTCCACAATGGTTTAACTCAGCACCTGTGAAGAGTTTTGTTTGGCTGCTAGACGTTATGGAATTAAAGACTCAAGGACATTGTCTAGACAGGATGGAGCAACCAATTCACGGGTCACCAGTCCTACAAGGATGGTATGCGCTGGACAGAGACTGAGAATAGATAATGTGTTTCCGCGACCGTTGAGCACCTTTTAGAAAAAGTGGCTCAGGCATCGGTCCTCCTTGGGCAACCTGGCATCTGCCTCTGATTCAGCAGCCACACACCTCAGCGGCGTGACCATCAAACAGAATTTAGAAGCAAAAGATGCTGTGGGAACCCACCACGAGCAAACATCTAGGGACTCTACTGAAGTGTGAGCGTCTCTCTCTCACTGTTCCAGAATTCTGCACAAGCCTGGACCGCTGTAGTATTTGTCCTGCATAAACACACTCCCATGAAGATAGGAGAGCAGCACACCTGGCTTGTATACACGAATACATCCCAATGCGTTCTGGATTTCCTTGCAGACATGCGGGACAAGGTTTCCTCCCAGCCTTTACCCAGCTCTTAGGGATGCCTGAGCCTTTCTTCTCCTCCCTAGCCTCCTACACCTAGACCCTGGCAGGACCCACAATCAGGAAACGTGGTTCTGCACATTTAGATAATCTTGGCTGTTGTACAAAAGAAATATATTACACCTAAAGTCAATGTATTCTTAGACCAATGAGAAAATCAGAATTCATGTCATCCTAAGAAAGCCTCCATGTGGGAGACTTACCTACTGTTCCTTAACAAATCGAGCAGTCTGATTCCTCCAGGATGAGAGGAATTCTCATCCATAGCTATTCTATAAAGTACTTAAATTGCCTTCATAGACTTTTCGTGGCCCCAAAATACACACCTTATAGTATTAGCGTCAACCTTAGCAATACTGGAAATGACACGGGAACCAGTCTGTGCATCCACAGAGGCCGACTAAGGCAGAGAAGACACTCTTCTCCTGTCTTGTTTGTTCCCAGGTTCATGCTGATATATGCAGGATGGTTCAAAGCCACCTACACTGCTCCCCATCCCTGCACTGCCCACCCCCTCCTTGCTCTGCCCAGCCCCTCCCTGCCCTGCCCGCCCCCTCCCTGCTTTGCCTGTGCTCTGGACTGAATGCATCTGACTAAACTTATGGTTAGTGCCTGGGTGGCTCAGTCGGTGAAGCGTCCAATTCTTGATTCAGCTCAGGTCCTGATCTCAGGGTCATGAGTTCAAGCCCCACGTGGGGCTCCACGCTCACCATAGAGCCTACCTAAAATTAAACATGGTGGTTGCCAGTGTCCCTCATCAACAGAATACTATTTTGAACTGTCTTATGTTTACAACTTGGCTGTTTCCACATATCAATCATTTTTCTTATGTATTTCCATTTAGAATTCAACACTACCTTCTCTTGAAATAAGTCACTCATGCCGAACTTGGTAAACCAGGTAGGACTTACTGAGTATTTCAAGAGGAAAAGGAGGGCACATTTTTAGATCAAACCTCTGCACAGAGCCCAACTTAAAAATGTCAGCTGGCCCCGAATCCCTGTCTTTCTGAGGCGTATTAGCTGCGTGGACAGCTCTAACCTAGATCCCCTCCCCCCAGCCTCACCTGAAACGGCCTCTTGCCTCCCAGCCCAGCTTCCCAGATTCTCTAGCTCAGGGCTTCCTGTCCAGGATCCTCTGATGGCAAGACTCACTCTCCTTAGCATTACAAGAAACAGAGGAACAATCTAGACACATGGAAATGCATTTTTTGAGTTTGGTCCTTTGCTTGAGGTCCTTCCGCGGCATGTAAATGCATGTCTTTATTGGTTTTCACCAGGCTTCATCTCCTTTTAGATGGCATCAATTACAAGGTTTTCCACTTCTAAGAAATTCACATTTTGTATGAAAGATTATAAAATACATAGGTTTACCAAGATGAGTAAGCATAAATTTTGTTCATGATTCAGTGATGCGTGTTTGAATTCACTGACTAGTAATGGCTGCTCAAGTCCGATTTTTCAACGACCGGAACAGAATGATTTTGAAAAATAGATACATCTGTTGAAAAATAGATATAAATGAAACCGGGACAGCCGCCTCGCTTAGACTTTGCAAGCGATTGCTACGTGCATTCGGATTCGTTAATATTATGGCTGCTGTTGTTGTCTTCTTGTTACACCTGCTCTGAAAGAGGGGCCGTGAAGATCCAGGAGGCAGCTACCACGCTTCCCCTTCCTGTGCGTGCTCTGGGAGCTCCACAGACCAGCCCCAGCTCCCGCCCGGGGACAGCGCATGAGCCCCCACCCAGGACGTCACTCATTCTGACCTCATCCCCTGTTCGCTTTCCATGGTGCTGATTTCCATTTAGTGTCACAGCAGTAGGAAACCGTTTAGAATACACTAGAAATAGAGTGTAATTACCACGGAGGATGGAATTTCTCTCCGATGCTGCCCGAAACATCCAGGGGAAGGGCAGGAACCACAGGACGTGCGGAGAGCAAAAGGTGCTGCTCACCGATTTTTCCCAGGCATTGCTCACCGATTTTTCCCAGGCATTGCATGGACGTCCTGCCTCCCAGTCCCTGCTCACTTCTGTTCCTTCTGCAGAATCACAGCTGTTCTTCTCCTCACTTTGGGAACGTCTTCTAAAAGCTGTCCTTCATAATCTCATCCAAATGCAGGTGTTTTTTTTGTTTATTGTTATTTCGCTTTAAAAAGGACAACGATGAAGTTCATGAAGAAAGGCTCAATAGTGTCACAGGTCCGAATGACCTTGACGGTGTGTTTGTGCCTGTCCACGGGACCCTGGCGTGGCTGCGCTACCCGGACAAACAGGGATGAGGCCACTTACATAGGTGTGGAGGATTTGCCATGAAGAATGGGGGGCTTTCCCTGTGTTCGGGACAAGCAGAAAAGTGGCCCTTCGAGATATTTCTCCATTTGGATTGAAAAATTCTTGAGAATTGAAGCCTCCATGGAATATTTTTTATTCATTTCCTTTTTGCTCTCATGCTATTTGCTCAACTGTAACAAAATACTCAGATAAAGAAATTCAACAAATAGGGGCTCTGAGCAATTTTTATTATAATATTGGAGTTATTCTGCATCCTGTCTTTAGTTACAAAAAAGAGTCATTCTGATGTATCATTAATTGTTTCAGCTGGAGTTGTTAGTCTATAATTTTACAAATCGCCTCTGACAGGAAACACGTCAACACTGAACTCAAACACAGTTTTGTCAGAATCGCCTTCCGCCTTCGAGGCTCATAGAAGCGCTTGCTTAACAGCCGTGACCCACGTGGCGTCTGCCACTGCTCAGGATCAGTTCCAAACATGAGGTCAGCCTGTTGGGAAAGCAGTGTGAGGAGCGAGGGTTGTTTTAAGGAAAATGACTACACAAGCGCATTCTCTCTGAGGCCTGCACCGTTGCATGAGGACATGCACAGTCTGAGAGAGAGGATCCTGGTGACGATAGAGACAGACTCACTTCCAGCGAACTGCACAGAACAAAGACAGAATAATGCATTTTCAGGTGCCTGCCTCCAGGTCTGTTTCCCAAGGAGTTGGTTTGGCGTAATTAAGAGGCATCATTACCGGTAGACGTATTTTTCAAACTGTATCCCTGCCCCTTTGGATTAAACCGAAGAATCTCTTACAGATGGAGAATTCCAATGGGCAAGGTAAATGGAGGTCCCACCCCACCCTTGAAGGAGGCTCACCTGCTCTCGGCCGCCACCAAGACCATAAGCACACGCCCGCAACCGAACAAGCTGCCTCAGTGAAGACCACACACCCGGAGACCCTGGGGTGGGGGGGTCTCATAAGAAAGTTCCAAGAGGGGCTGGCTATAGGATTGAGGTTCATGCCAGTGATTTGGACAGGCTTAAAGGCATTTGCTTTTGCTCTGAATCAAGTGCTGGCAGGGGAATCCGAGCGGTGTGGGGCATCTTGACTTTCATCAGGAGGCAGAAGGAGCGCCCATGTTGTTACAAATGGCAGAATCCTTTCTTTTTTAAGGCTAAATAGTATTTCACTACATGGATATAAGACATTTTCTCTACCCATTCATGATCAGCAGACCCTTCGTTTGTTTCCAGGTTTGTTTCCATGGCATGGCTCTCCTTCGGGGTGTGCTGAACATGGGGGGAGAGTCATCTCTTTGAGATGCTGACGTGTGTACTGTTTGCATATGTAGACCCAGAAGCGAGATTGCTGGATCCTACGGGGGAGTTCTACTTTTATTTTGTTATTGCATCACAATGGCCATGTTACACTCACTAGACTCTAAGGTCTTTGAGGATAAGAGCAAGTTCTTAGTCACCTCATTATCATGAGCACGGTGATTTGGGTGCTTGATTAATTTTAATTGCCTGAATATCACTCAATTCTCATAAGGCACTAATGCTCCTTATGCCACGTTTTCCTCGTCTGAAATGAAAATATAAGGCAGTCCTCAGGGTTGGTAAAAGGATGAAATGCAGATGGGAAAGTGCTCCCCAAATCATTCCCTCTAGAAATTGCGGAAAGCGTTATTAATTCTTATATTAACATAAATTCTCTCTGGACTCCTCTTAACTCTACTTCCAAGCGGTTATTTTGGCTTCCCAGGGAACATACAGACAGCTGTGTTGTGTGCTTGCTTCTAGCTGTGCCTCGAACCAGCGATACCCAGTGCAGCTCTATCCCCGAGCCCAGATACGGAAGGAGAATCGGCTCGGAGTTTTCTGCGGGTTCGATCGTCCGTTTCGAGTGTAACCCGGGATACCTCCTTCAGGGCTCCACGGCCATCCGCTGTCAGTCCGTGCCCAATGCTCTAGCTCAGTGGAATGACACGATCCCGAGCTGCATAGGTAAGCCTGTGTCCAGGAGGCGGGATTCCTTGGGTAGGTTGCCCAGCCCAGCCTCACAGCTGGTTGAAGAGCTGTTTCCCAATGCTTATGTCCAGTCCCCAACATCTGGTCATGCTCCAGACCTGTCTAAAGACAATGCATTTTATCTGACGTAATTGAGAAGCAGCTAAACCCTAAAGATTACTACGTTTCATGAAACTACTCATTAGATAAAAAAGTATGAAACGTTTTCTTTCTCAATACTTATTAAGTATGCCATTAACTTTCCAGCCATGGGTATAGAACGTAATTTCATTTTAGGGAGAAATCATTATAATGGTGATTTGCTGTATTGTGTAATGTCCTTTTTAATAAATGTGTGCTGATGAAGGTTTAAAAAGTAATAGGTTAATGCGGCCTGAATAACAATGACATTGTTAGTTATAGTTTATTTGCTTCATTTGGTGTAAGAACCTCTAGGGCAGTCATGATTAGTTCTGAGTTCCCCTGCACATTCGCAGTGTCTCTTCTCCGCTCTGCTTTGCTCATAAATCCCATTAATTTCCTTTGGAGTTTCAGGTCTGCCTCTAGGAGACAATACTCTGCAAAGCTCCTTACATTGTATGGATAAAAGTATTCTAAACAGAATTCCCTTCAGAGATGCCAGTGTTA